CCCTCACCCCTAGCCGGAAGGGTGTTAAACACAGGAGCCTGGGGGGTTCCCTCTTTGAGGCTCATTTCCTAGAGGCTGATGTAAATTTAGAGATTTAACAGAGTCAGAAAAAGAAAACATCATGGGCTTACTCAGCAGCATATTCAAAGGACGATGTTTACCTAAGACACACCAATTCAGTGCAGCCACCATCATGGCTCATTCTCTGTGAGTGAGGGGACTGAGCTGGGTGCCAGTGTGAGCAGATGAAATTCGGGATGCCCAGTTAAATTTGAATTTCAAATAAATAATGAATCACTTTTAGTATAAATGTACCCTCCCACACAACCTTGGAGATATGCTTACACTGAAAAATGATTCATTGCTGATCTGAATCAAATTTAACTGGAAGTCTGTGCTTTATCGGGATCCAACTTGATCATGCTCCCAGAGGACCAAGGCAAACACCAGCTTCCAGGATCTAGTGACCGGCTCTAAAGGACAGATGATGGGGGCTCCAAAAAAAGACGCTAAAGAAGAAAGGCAGAGAGCAGGTTTGAGAATGACCTCATGAGAGTCTGAAGCTGGAAGGAGCAGGTGACTCCTAATCTAATCATCTCCAGTCACCATAGAAACCACTAAAGTCAGCCGGAAAGAGCTGGTGAACCCCAACACCCACCTCCTCTCCACCAGTATAGATCGTTCACATTCCCTTCCTAGGTGAGGTCTGGTCGGACGGGATCTACTGTCTCAGTTGCTCTCCCAGGAAACAGCTGGGACCTGACCCTGCCCTCTTCCTCCCAGCCTCAGATGGCTGCCCCAAAGCACCCACCCTGTTGTGAGTGATGGCACCTGAACACCTAACCCTGTGTCAGAGAAAAACCAGGGCCAGAGAGTAGTTAAAGCAATAAAAACAGATTTTATTCAGGACTATTGCGCTAGAGGACAAGAGACCTTGGTGTAGAATAGGGCTCCATTCCAAATACAGCAGGGGCAAGAGGGAATTTATAACCAAGGAGTGGGGGCAGGGGATCGGCGGATGGAAAACGACTAAGAAGAAACCTCAGCGATAAACGGGGATTCTGGCTAAACCAACCTAACCGGATTCGTGCTGAAGACAGGCCCAGGTGATCAGACACCTGGGAGATGGTGGGGGATGAAGAATCCGGTAAGATATGGAAGTCGATCAGAGATATGGAGGATACAGGGTTCTGGTTACACTAACTTAGCAGGGCTCTTACCAAAACTGGATTTTATATGGAAGTGCCCATACGAGCCTAGAAGATTCAGGACTAAAGTCTGGTTAGCAAAAGAAGTCTTTGTCACCTGCCCACAGGGAGGTCACATTCTAGGAGGGGAACAGTACCCAGGAGGGAAATGGCCCAAGGACATACAGCAAAAGCCTGTTCAGAACAAATCAGGCCCGTCCTGGACTCCCTGTCCACGTATCTCTCTGTCCCTTCCTGGGTAAAGTAACTCTCCTCATCCAAAATGTGATTAAATTGATCAGGACAATGTTCAATCTTTCAGACAAGACATGGGCAGGCAGTAAGCTCTGCATACAAATGCAGGAGTTTGCAGTGACACATTTTGTATTTGACTCTGGAAATTAGAGGTGCTTTGGAGGTAATGCAAATTGATTCAAAATGTCCCCGGCCAGAAGCCTGGATCATGCACTTAGGCAAATCATGCGAAGTGCTTTTTAATGCACTGCCTCAGATCCTTCTGTGTACCTCTCTGCTGGACCAGCCCTGACCTCACAGCAGCTACACTGATCCTCCCCATGGGGCCTCCAACTGCACTTCTGTGTCTGTCCTCCTTCCCTTTGCACACAAGCTCTGAATGCTATTGTTTCCACTTTACAGACAGGTAAGTAGGGCGCTGAGTGATTAAGCGACTAACCCATGGTCAACTTACTCTAAGGGACAGAGCCCGCTGGAGGCCACCCTCTCTCTCTTCCCTAGTCTAGGACAACTTGCACAGATGTTACTCCATTCCTCTAGGTTCTGCAACCTTTAGAGGATCATGAAGAACGTCGTATGTCTGTCCGTCTACCAGCCTATCCACACACAGGATTCTGTGGAAGGAGCACCCCTAACGCTTAGTAAGTTTCCTCCCTTTGCTAAAAATTTGCTAAATTTCCTCCCTTTCATGTAACTCCAATCTTCACAGAAGCTGCTGTCTTTAATCAAGACAATCAAATCTGAGCAATTATGACAGCTGTTCCTCTGATGGCCAAGATCACCACACAGAGAAGACTGACCCACCTTTGACTTCCTGCAGGCTCAGAAAGTTTTAAGGTTTGCTTTGTGGACATGTTGCTTAACCCAGGAAACCAGGGCTTCCAAAATTACGAGGCAAATTTGTACCCAACATACGGATTAAGCTCTATCCCTGAATTTCATCAAATAAGAATCCAGAGGATTTTGCAAACATACCCACCCAGATTCCTCTCTACTTTTCTCGGAATCTCTATCTCCTGTGACTCCAATGCCTTTGTCCTGGGCTCACTGCCACCTATGGTCACTAATGTCAACCCTAGTTTTCACCTGTAAACAGCCTAGCCAGGCTAGGCTGTCAGTGTGAAGGCTGGCTGGCCACCTCCACTGTGTCCACATGGTGGCCTCTGCCTGGAATGCCCCCGTCTCCACCTGGAACAATCCTGCTTCTCCTTCAAGTCCCTGCTCAAATATCCCTAGAATTCCAGCTTCATGGGGCTGCTGTGAGGACTAAGGTCAAGCACAGGTGGGCACAGACAGGGGCACCTGGTCCAGGACAGCACTGACTGTCACTGTCATGCCCTCGCTCCTGCCCCTCTTAGGGAAACCATCCCCTTCCCAACTTCCTCTGCCTCTTCCTCACACTACTATGTGGTTACTCGTGTGCTCACCCCTATCCTCCATAAAGTCCTGAACTCCTGGAGGGCAGGGGTCTTGTCTTGCTTGTCTTTGGGGCCCCACACCTGACTCAGGGCCTGACACTCAGGGGGTTCCATGTATATTTGCCCCCAAAATCCTCCGGGCTCCTGGGCTCCAGGGACAGCAGCTTGATGAATGGTCAGAACACTGTGATAAGTTAAAATTCATTGTATGATGTGGCTGTGGACACAGACAAAGACTGTGCTGTTAGTGACATCATGTCGGGCTGGTGACACCACTGGTCATTAGGAATGTTTACTTCAGGACACAGCCCTTGGCTTGTCGGGAAAATGGTCCAGAGTCCCATCCAGTGTGTCACTATAGCCTGTAGGAACTGTCTCCAATAGGGATGGGGCGACCCAGCTGGTGTGGTCTGCCTGTCTGCCTTCATGCACCTGTACAGGCCTCAGCGTCTCGGTGAATATATTTTGATAACTGCATGGATTCCTTTTAATATCACATGATGGGGCACCTGGCTGGCTCAGTCAGAAGAACATGCGACTCTTGACTTGGGGTCGTGAGTTCAAAACCCACGTTGGGTGTAGAGATTACTTACATAAATAAACTTGCAAAATAAAGTAAAATGGGGGTGCCTGGGTGGCTCAGTCAGTTGAGCGCCTGACTCCAACTCAGGTCATCATCTCCATGAACTCACGGTTCATGAGTTCAAGCCCCACATCGGGCTCACGACTGTTAGCCCAGAGCTCACTTTGGATCTTCTGTCCCCGCCTCTCTCTCTGTCCCTCCCCTGCTCGTGCTCTCTCACTCAAAAATTAATAAACATTTTTAAAAAACGAAAATAATCATGCAAACAAATAAATAAAATATATAAGTCACATGAAACTAGTTGCATTACTGAGGACAAGAAGCTGGGAAGAACCCTCCTCTGTATCTGCACGTCTCCCGCTGACAGAAGAGAGCAGGCTCCAGTGAAGGAAGCAGAAAAGTTCCTGGCAGGTCTGTGGGACCCAGACACACTCCATGTCCACTCGTGCCTCCGTGCCATCCCACTGGCATTCCCTCCTCCAGGAAAGCCCTTCCCCTAGTAACCTCCTACATTTTGTCCAGGATCCCACTCATGCACCTTCTCTTTCAGGTCTTCCTGCAATAAAGAGGTCTGGTGCAGTCCCTTCAGAGTTCTTCTGATTCAACCCTGGCCATTTTCACAAGTTCAATGCAGTGTTAGGGCAAGAAGGAGGAGCTGGCAAACAGTAACAAGATCTGCAGTAATGGGGAAAATGTGTCCCCTGGGTCTTAAGCAGTTTCCCCAAGGCTTTGCACTCCAGCATGTGATGTGGCAGGCATGAGGTGCAGACCAGAGGCCTGGAGAAGAGAACAGAGGACATGGGGGGTGGGGGGGCGCTGAGAACTAGGACTAGGATCTTAAAAGCCGGAAATCCTCAGCAACCAAACCTAGGTCTTTCTGCCGCGGATGCCTCAGAGCAGCATCCTGGGAATGCACGTAGGAAGCCCTGGTGGAGGGGCTGTGTCAGAGGTAGGGATCTGAAGGAGACTGAAGAACCCCCGTGCAAACCCCGCACTCCATCACTCACTAGCATGATCATAATGACGCAAATCACTTGACTTGCTTTGATTTGGTTTCCTCAGCTATAACATGGTCTCCCGGGAACCAAAAGTGGACTACGCCACTTTTCTGGAAGATGTGAACAACACATCTTAGGGACACGTTCCAGGCCTCCCGGGCGCTTCCCTGTTCAGACGAGAGGCCGTTTCCACTTTGTGGTTCGTCTCTGACAGCGCTCAGCTCAATCTCTTTAAACGGTTTACAAAACGCTCCGACATCAACAATGCATTCTCACCGCTTTTACAAATGGGGAGACCTGGGTCCGTAACTTGCCACCGTCACGCTGTGGGGACCGGCGCGCCCCGGGCGGCTCCGCACCGCCTCCGCACGGCTGCCCGGCGCCCTCCTTGGCGGGGCGGGGCCACGGCGCGGGGCGGGACCTGGACTGGTCACGTGACGCCCGGCCCGGAAGCGCTCGCTCCCGAGACCCCCTGGTGACGGGGTCGGGAGCTGCTACCTGGAGCGAGCGCGGAGGTCCCGGGGGTCCCTGCAGTTTCTCGCTCCCTGCATTCGCCGCCATGGCCTGGACCAAATACCAGCTGTTCCTGGCCGGGCTCATGCTCGTCACCGGCTCCATCAACACGCTCTCGGCCAAGTGAGTCCGGGCCTGGCTGGAAGGGGAGGGGGCTCAGCCGGACCTGCCGCGGCCCGCGAGGGCGCCAGCGACCCCGCGCACCTTCCTCGCCCTCCCCTTCCTCGGCTCTCCTTTCCCGGCTTCACCGGCTCGCCTAGTTTCTCCGGTCGGTTCAAGCGATTTGGGGGCCCCCAAGGGGCGCGAGGCCCGGGGAAATATGGACAGAGGCCGGGTCGCCAGCTGGAGGACCCAAGCCCCGGCTCATTTGATCGCTGAGTGTTTGATCCCGGCGAGTCACCTTCCGTCTCCGTGCCTCAGTTTCCTCGTCTTTAAACGGGAGGGTTGGAGCCCAACGGTGGGGTCGGAGGCAGGCTCTCCAAGAGCTGTAGGCAGAGGTGGGGTGAAGGGGCACTCCCACACTTGTGCACACGGGCTGCGGTAGAACCCATGCAGGCCGAGTAATCCGTGAACGTGGAGGCGACAGAGAAGGGGTGCCCCGTGGGCTTCTCACGGAGGAGAGGTTACAGCTGGGCCTTGAAATTTCGGTGGGATATCTACATGTGGCTGGACGTCGAGGCAGGCAAGAGCAAGGTCACATCGAAGAGTGTTATAACCAGCCCCAAATGCCCAGGCCGCATCTTAATCCCACAATCAAAGAAGGGCTTTTGAGCAGAAAGTGACAGGTTACAAATGGTATGATGAACCTGATGGTCAAGATGAAGAGTAGTTTTGGTGCAGGGAATACCACTCCAAGCCTGCTACATAACAGATGAGGGAGGTAGGAAAGGAAGGGACAGGTGGGAGAGACCAGGTACAGAATGAAACCATAAACCCTGACCCACAGGATGGAGAGACAATGACCAGTCCAGGGTTTCTGCCTGCGAGAATACAAGTGTCATTAACCCAGACAGGGAAGGCAGGTGGGCAGTTCAGCTCTGATGCATGAGGGTGAGGTGCTTGTGGGACAGAGGTAATAGTCCCGAGGAGGTTAGGGCTTGAGGACCCAGGGCTGTCATGAGACTGAGGGGTTGAGCACGGCCTCCTCCCTGTAGTGCACAGGAGACCCTGGAGGCAGCCCCTTGTCTGGGCAGTGCTTTGTCTCTTGCTCCGCCCCCGCCTCAAGACAGGGCTCTCCTGCCCCCTCTGTTTACCATCTCAGAGCCCCCAGTACCCAGATCCTGGCCTCTCTCTGAACCGATTCCAAGGTGCACGTGGAGAACAGTGGACAGTGGCCCTCTCCCAGCCAGACCTCACTTCCAGCTGGGCCCTGCCAGTCTCCACAGCAAGGGGGAGGCATGCCAGTCACCCTCTGGGCTGTGTTCCAGGCCCCCTGAGGGCTGGGGGAGGGGGGCAGTCATCTCCTATCCATTTTTGAGGTGTTTGTTCCTAGCACACTCCATCAGTGATATGAGACGTGTTCCAGAGGAGAGTTTGGAAGAGAGGCATCCTGTTCAGTTGATCAGACATGTATAAGGTACCTACAGGGTGTAAGGCACTGTCTGGACTCAGGGAAGGAGGCTGGAGCAACCAAAAGAAAGCTTGAGATGGTTAGAATCAGAGGTGAAGGGGTTAGAATATACAGCCTGGCAACCACGGTGTCCTCCCTTCTCCAAAGGAAGTAAAGCTCTGGGTGAACCCCACTGTCTCTGGTTGGGTTATGGCCGGCTGTGTCTGTGCCTTGAGCTGGTCTCCTGGGCCCTGTGGCCTCCTGAAGGTCACTGCTTTTGCTGAGCCCTTAACTGTAAAGGTGACTCGACATGAGAGCTCCCATTCTCAGGATCTGAACACAGCAGCCAAGTTGTCTGTCTGCCCATCTGTCGTACTAGCTAAGGCCTTAGCCAAGTGCTCCCAGAGTGGCCGTGGGTCTGCCAGGGCTTCTGTCCCCAAGGAGAGTTGAGACTGCCAGTTACTACTGGGGTAAACTGTGCTAACTCAGCTCCTTCCTGGTCAGGTAGGAGGCCAGGGGAATCCTTGGCCCCAGGAGGCCTTGCCCTTGGAGGCTGCCTCAGAGACAGGAAAGAGACTCCCATGTGAGGACCCAGCCTTTGATCCTGTCACCTGATGTGGGGTCTCTCAGGAGCCTCCCTACCTCAGATGGACCCCCAGAATTGGGCCCCAAACATTGTTCTAAGGCCAGACTGTGAGAAGGACACCCTCAGAGAGAAAATGTGAGAGAGCAGCTATGTACATCCTGATGGGAATTAGCAATTTGAACTCACACTCTGACCTGCAGTTTCTGACAGGGACAGACTGGCTAGAATGTGACCACAGCCAGTGCTAACTAAGCAACTGTTATCCAGGGAGCATCCCGTGCCCGGTCGTCCTGCGGCCACCTTTCACGTGTTAGTTTAATGAATTCTTGTAACCAGCCTGTGAAGGAGATACGCTCGTTGTCCCCGGATGAGGATCCTGAGGTATGGAAAGGTGGAATTGCTTGCCCAAGTTCAAGTCAGCTGTCAAATGGCAGAGTTGATAATTGAACCAAAGTGATCTGGCTCAAGAATCCGGGCTCTTCATCGTCAATATGGGATGAGGCTAGAGACTTCTCTATTCATTTTTCAGGGCATTTCAAGTTGTTAGAAACGTAGAAATCACCCATTCTCATCCCCACGATCTGTGGTCAGGGTCCCATGAGAAGTTTCTTTTTGTGGCCCAGCTGACGGGTGTCAGAGTGGGCACCAGAACCTGGGTCTCCGCATTTTTTTTTTAACATTTTTTTTTATTTATTTTTGAGACAGAGAGAGAGAGAGCATGAACAGGGGAGGGTCAGAGAAAGAGGGAGACACAGAATCTGAAACGCTTAAGGCTTTGAGCTGTCAGCACAGAGCCTGATGCGGGGCTTGAACC